CCACCAGCTATTCCACAGGCGAAGGATAGACAATTTCTTCCCATGAGACTGCTTAGTTGCCTCTAAGAACTCCCTAGAGGGTCAGATATGGTTCAGTTCCAACTCAGTTAGACAAAAGAAGAGAGGAAACAGTTCACCACTCTATTGAACTTGTAAGCCCTATTTAAAACATTTACCGAAATTTCTCTTAAAAGCTTGCACATTTTCAAAATGAAAACAAAATACACTTTTTTTAACAAAACACATTTTTAAGAAAACATAGAGACAAAAATATATTTGACACATGTGGTTTTGTCATACTTTTAACTTTCAAAAGTTTAATATAACTTCCACCATTGAACCTTCCTGACTGCAAGATGCAGAGAAAGCTTGGGATTTTTTTTTTAATTGTTGCACTTTTCTCCCCACCCACTCACTCCCAAAAGCTTGGGATTTCTTAAGCCAAAGGGGAACAATACTCACCTTGCTTCAGCTGCAGCCCCTGGGTCAAAGGTGGAGCACCAATGGACAGGTCCTTGAGTGAAAGTCCCCTTCCCCTAAGACATTATATAATTACAGTAGCCTATCATCAGCATCTACCAAAAAAAAAAAAAAAGAAATGTATCAAGAAAGTAGCATGCAGTCTCAAACATTATGATACAACAAAATAACCCTTCTCCTAAAAAAAAAGCAGAGCATATTTAGATCCAATGAACACTCCAGATATAGAGAATCAGAAAAAAATGTGTGGATACGGAGTTATTTGGACAGGTACAGAAGAAGGTGAAAATGATGGAAGAAACAATGAAAGCCATTCAGAAAGCAAATACTGCAGAGACAGGGAACTAGAAAAAATATTTCTTTGAGGAGTGACTTGAACAACTACAGAAGAAATTGCAAAAGATGTAAGAAAGAATTGAAACTATAGATAATGAGCTACAAGAGCTTTAAAGATCATCAGAGAGAGTATAGCCAACACAGTGCTAGAAATAACAGAAATGCATGAAAATGCAATCCAGAATATTAAGATTGAAATAGCAGAAGTGTCCAACATGCTAGAGGGACAAAATAGTAGAACAGAAGAGGTGGGACAGAAAGTCAGTGAGCTGGAAGAGAAGAGGCTTAGAAGAAAAATCAGAAGGAACAACATATGTTTGACTGGAATTCCATAATATGGAGGGGGACAGTCAAATCACTGAGAAAATAGTGGAAGAGGTACTAGAAGAAAACTTCCCAGTTATTATGAAGAATAAGGGAATCCATACCTAAGAAGCTCAGCAAACACCAAATAGGCTAGACCCAACAAAGAAAAACATCAAGATGTACATAGTCAAATTCTCCAAAATAAAAGATAAGGATAGAATACTAAAAGCAGCATAAGAAAAACAGAGTGACTTGTACAGAAGAAAAAAATTAAGTTCTGATTTCTCAGTAGAAATCATGCAAGCACGAAGACAATATATGGCATATATAGAAAGATGAAAGAAAACAATTGCTAGCCTAGGATCCTATACCCAGCAAAGCTATCTGTCAAATATGAAGGAGAAATTAGGTCATTTGCAGAAAAGGAGAAACTTAAGGAATTTGTGAAAACATCAAAACTACAAGAAATTTTAATAGAAGTCCTTCACACAAAGGAAAAAGGATGGACCACAGTAACCAGAAACAATAGAAAAAGAAACAGCAAAATGGCAACAATAAAACCTGGCCTGACAATAATCATACTTAATGTAAATGGACTAAACATGCCAATTAAGAGAAAAAGAATTGCAGATTGGTTAAAAAAGCAAGCCCATCAATATGTTGCCTACATGAGACACATTTAAGAAACAAGTGGAAAGACAGACTCAAAATCAAAGGCTGGGAGAACACATACCAAGCAAATTGCATACACACACACACACACACACACACACACACACACACACCAGGAGTTTCAATACTAATCTCTGATAAGATAGACTTTAGGACACAAAGCACCATAAAAGATAAAGAAGGGCACTATGTAATGATTAAAGGCACAATAGATCAAGAAGACATAACCTTAGTCAACACCACTCTCAACTAAGGATAGGTCAACTCAAAAGAAACTTAACAAAGATAAAGAAAATCTGAACTATACAATCAATCAACTCGACCTTGTGGATGTATTCAGGGTACTGCACCTATTACTTTCTTCTCAAGTGCACATGGTATAAAGCAAGCCTCAGCAAATTAAAAATCACTGATTAAGTACAAAGTATCCTCTCATACCAAAAGTTCCATAAAAATAGAAAGTGAGGACAAGGGGAGCTCTGGTGGCCTAGTGGCAAGAAGCTGCACTGCAATCCCAGAGGAACACGGTTCGAATCCACCAGATGCTCTGCCGGAGAAGGAGGCGCAATATCCTCCTGTACCAGTCAGATCTGATTTGATGGTACACGCACACAAAATAATAATAATAATAGAAAGTGAGGACAAGAGGATAAAGCCTCACCTGTGTGAGTAAAGCCCCCCCCCCCAAAGTACATAAGAGAGAAAGTAATCCAAGTTAAGACTCAGTCTATAGTATAAAGAGTCTTGTAAGTACAGCCAGAAATGTACAATTTGGACAAGATAAAATTGATGAATGGTGCCTTTTAAAGATTAAATCCCTGTGTGCAAAACTTTTTCCAATAAAGTAAAAAGAAAACCTACATATTGGGGTAAAAAATATTTTGCAATATCATCTCAGACAAAAGTCTCATAACAAAAGTTTACAGAATCCTACAGGGCCTCCACAAGAAAAAAAGACTGATAACCCAATTACAAAATGAGTAAAAGACATGGAAAGACTTTTCATGGTGGAAGACATCTGGATGGCCAACAGACACATGAAGAAAAGCTCAAAAACAGTGGCAATAAGAGAGATGCAAAGCAAAACCACAATGACATATCATCTCACCCCAGTATCTGTGGCAAAGTTTAACAGGACAGCAAGCAATAAATACTGGAGAGGATGTGGAAAGATAGGAACTCTCATACACCGTTGCTGGTGGGAAGGCAGTTTGGCATTTCCTCGAAAAGTTGAAACTCCTTATGACCCAGCTATTCCACTACGAGGAATATACCACAAGGAAATTAGAACTGAGACAGAAATGGAGATTTGTACATCAGTGTTCATAGCAGCGCTATTCACAATCGCAAAAACTCCCCCCAACCAAAACCAAACTTACACACACACACACACACACCAGCCTACATGTCCAACCATAAATGAACGGATTGAGAATTTACAGGCCACATGTCCAACCGTAAGTGTATGGCTTGAGAATTTGCAGTACATTCACACAATGGAATACTATGCAGCACTCAGGAGCAATGTTTAGAAAATTACTACCTAACTTGTGAAAGACTGGAGAGCATTATGCTGAGTGAACTAAGTCTCATAAAGGCACAGACTCTGGAGGAATCTCTAAGTAAAACCAAGCATATTTCCCAAGGGAAAGCAGGGATTAAATTTTTGCATCCCACTTATTTGACCCTAGTACTGGAAAGAACCGAAGTTTGTAGAATACTGTGATATTCTGGAGAATAAACACTTCTTTTTGTGTCTCCTTCAACAGTCTAAAAATTCTTGGGACTTCAATCTTGCATGTCATACACGCACCATGGCATTTGCAGGCACGGCGGTGATGTGCAAGGTCCGAGAGACTTGAGGTATAGCAGCGATTCTGGTGACGGGCAGCTCACAGCAAGTGGCTGCCACAGTTTGTCACTCTATTTTCTGGAGACGGCATTGAGACATTCCATCACCATTTCTTGCCTCTGTAACTGGGGGACTAAGGCGGTGGCTGAAAAGTAGGGGGCACGACTAGTTCTCAGAGTGAGCTTTGGACTTTGAGCGCAGCCAAAATAGAGTGAGAAGGCTGAGGGGTGGTGGGGTGGGGAGTAAAAGTCTAGACATGGTTTCCTTCCAGGAATTGTCTTCCCTTCCTCCTTGTCCCTCCCCACCTCGTTTTCCCTTTTGTGCGTGGACGCTCCTACCTAAATCCAGAGCTGGTGGGGTGCAGACCCCTCATGTCTTAAGGAAGTTTACTGCGCTTAGTATTTTCACTAGCAAAATTACTAGACATCAACATTTCCCTGGGTCTCTCCCCGCTTCCTCCTCGGGCCGTTGCAAACTCCATGCAGGCACCGACGAAGCTCCGCCCTGCCATTTGTGAGTAGGCCCGGGGCTGAAGCTCCTGCGCTCTCCCCCCACCCGGGACTCAGACCCTGCCCTCCGGGAGGTCTCCGGAAGTCCATTTCTTTGGGGGGCAGAGGAAGAGGAGTGGAGTTGGGGTGGGGGTTGGGCAGGAAGAAGATGGGAGAGCTAGAGTTGTGGCCAACAGCTCCCAGGCGGCTCAGACTCGCTTTTCCGGCCGCTCGGGCCCCAGGCCGGGCGCAAGGAGCGCGCAGTCAA